GCCTAAAAATGTAGTGTAAACAAGAAGGGGCATCCAGGAAGGACAGAGATGAGCATGGACCAAGTTACCAAGAAGACCTCATGGCGTAAGAATTTGGGGGAGAGGTTAACTCATAGAAGGCACTCAGTGAATGTGCACGCAGTGAGCAGAATGTTCCAGGTAAGACGAAAAGGGGGAGCAGAGCAGTTCTAAGACAGAGATGGCATGTGAACGACACAGTGAGGAAGCCGCCCGTGGCTGTGGTTGAGGGCCTTCATGAGTAACTGGTACAGTTCCAGGGGTCAGGACCCCCCTCTTTGGGGGCCTGAACTGAGATTTGATCCCTTGGGATCTGGGGATTGATTTTAGGTCTGTGAGTAGGATGCTGATGTAATGAAAGCCATGTTTTACAAACACTGGTCGAGGGTTCAAGCTCAGGATAGATTGGAGGAGAGTGAAACTAGAGGCCAGGAGAGGTAATGAAAGCCTAGGCCTGGGTAGTGGATGTGGTCACTAAGGAAAGGAAGGATATTTACAAGGAGGATATGGTCACAGCATCTGATTACAGGGAAGAGGAATGGATGAAGATACTGGAACTCCTCTCCTGAGCAGATAGGCTCTGGGAACTCATCTGAAGCTCAGAAGTCAGGTCTGGGTCTGGCCTGGAGATAAGGGTCTGGTCTTCTATGCTGGGGCATTCAGCAAAAAGACAACAAAAAATAATGGAGAGGATTCTAAGGACAGTGCAACTATTCTCTATGAACCTATAATGGTGGATAAAGGTCATTATACATTTGTTAAACCCCACAGAATGTACAACACCAAGAGTGGGAGTCCTAATGTAACTATGGACTTTGGGTGATAATGACGTGCCAGTGTAGTTTCATCAGTTGTAAGAAATATGCCTCTCCAGGGATGTCCACTCTCACCACTGCTATTCAACATAGTATTAGAAGTCCTAGCCACAGCAATCAGACAACAAAAAGAAATCAAAGGCATCCAAATAGGCAAAGAGGAAGTCAAACTCTCACTCTTTGCAGATGATATGATACTTTATGTGGAAAACCCAAAAGACTCCACCCCAAAACTGCTAGAACTCATACAGGAATTCAGTCAAGTAGCAGGCTATAAAATCAATGCACAGAAATCAGTGGCATTCCTATACACCAACAAGACAGAAGAGAGACAAATCAAGGAGTCGATCCCATTCACAATTGCACCCAAAACCATTAGATACCTAGGAATAAATTTAACCAAAGAGGCAAAGGATCTGTACTCAGAAAACTATAAAATACTCATGAAAGAAATTGAAGAAGACACAAAGAAATGGAAAAATGTTCCATGCTCATGGATTGGAAGAACCAACATTGTGAAGATGTCAATGCTACCTAGAGCAATCTACACATTCAATGCAATCCCCATCAAAATACCATCCACTTTTTTCAAAGAAATGGAACAAATAATCCTAAAATTTGTATGGAACCAGAAGAGACCCCGAATAGCCAGAGGAATATTGAAAAAGAAAAACAAAGCTGGCGGCATCATAATTCCGGACTTCCAGCTCTATTACAAAGCTGTCATCATCAAGACAGTATGGTACTGGCACAAAAACAGACACATAGATCAATGGAACAGAATATAGAGCCCAGAAATGGACCCTCAACTCTATGGTCAACTTATCTTTGACAAAGCAGGAAAGAATGTCCAGTGGAAAAAAGACACTCTCTTCAACAAATGGTGTTGGGAAAATTGGACAGCCACATGCATAAGAATGAAACTGGACCATTTCCTTACACCACACACAAAAATAGACTCCAAATGGTTGAAAGACCTAAACGTGAGACAGGAGTCCATCAAAATCCTAAAGGAGAACACAGGTAGCAACCTCTTCGACCTCAGCCGCAGCAACTTCTTCCTAGAAACATCACCAAAGGCACGGGAAGCCAGGGCAAAAATGAACTATTGGGATTTCATCAAGATAAAAAGCTTTTGCACAGCAAAAGAAACAGTCCACAAAACCAAAAGACAACCGACAGAATGGGAGAAGATATTTGCAAATGACATATCAGATAAAGGGCTAGTATCCAAAATCTATAAAGAACTTATCAAACTCAACACCCAAAGAACAAATAATCCAATCAAGAAATGGGCAGAAGACATGAACAGACATTTTTCCAAAGAAGACATCCAAATTGCCAACAGGCATATGAAAAAGTGCTCAACGTCGCTCGGCATCAGGGAAATCCAAATCAAAACCTCAATGAGATACCACCTCACACCCGTCAGAATGGCTAAAATTAACAAGTCAGGGAACGACAGATGTTGGCGGGGATGTGGAGAAAGGGGAACCCTCCTACACTGTTGGTGGGAATGCAAGCTGGTGCAACCCCTCTGGAAAACAGTATGGAGGTTCCTCAAACAGTTGAAATTAGAGCTACCATTCAATCCAGCAATTGCACTACTGGGTATTTACCCCAAAGATACAAATGTAGGGACCCGAAGGGGTACATGCACCCCAGTGTTTTTAGCAGCAATATCCACAATAGCCAAACTGTGGAAAGAGCCAAGATGTCCATCGACAGATGAATGGATAAAGAAGATGTGGTATATATACACAATGGAATATTATGCAGCCATCAAAAGGAATGAGATCTTGCCATTTGCAACGACGTGGATGGAACTGGAGGGTGTTATGCTGAGTGAAATAAGTCAATCAGAGAAAGACATGTATCATATGACCTCACTGATATGAGGAATTCTTAATCTCAGGAACAAACTGAGGGTTGCTGGAGTGGTCGGGGGTGGGAGGGATGGGGTGGCTGGGTGATGGACATTGGGGAAGATATGTGCTATGGTGAGTGCTGTGAATTGTGTAAGGCTGTTGAATCACAGATCTGTACTTCTGAAACAAATAATGCAACATATTTTAAGAAAAAAGAAAAAGAAGAAGATAGCAGGAGAGGAAGAATGAAGGGGAGTAAGTCAGAGGGGGAGACGAACCAGGAGAGATGATGGACTCTGAAAAACAAACTGAGGTTTCTGGAGGGGAGGAGGGTGGGGGGATGGGTTAGCCTGGTGATGGGTATTGAGGAGGGCACATTCTGCATGGAGCCCTGGGTGTTATGAAGAAACAATGAATCATGGAACAGTACACCAAAACAAATTATGTAATATATGGTGATTAACATAACAATAAAAAAATTTAAAAAAAAGATAAACAACCAAAAAAAAAAAAAAAAGAAATATGCCTCTCTGGTGGGGGATGATAAGGAAGGGGAGGGAGGCTGGTGGGAAAGGGGCAGGAGGTATATGACAACTCTCTATACTTTCCATTTAATTTTGCTGTAAACCTAAAACTGCTCTGAAACATAAAGGCCATTAAAAAACAAGGACAGTAGCAACAAAAATGTAAATTGCTAGAATTGAAATCCAAGACCAGTATTCAGTATGTGTTCAAAGGTCAATGTGTGGACAAGGAAGGGAAAACCACACGGAAAAGCAACTAAAACCCATTCAAATGGAAGAAGTGTGAACATCTAGGAGATGAACTAGAGAAACAGAGCCAGTAGGAGCAGGGCCTTCCTATGAAGGACACCTCAGGCCCCCCCACCACAAAGACCCCCCCCCCCGAGATGAAGGAAAGGTTTCAGGCCTGAGTGGCAAGAAGAATGATAGAGGGATGATGATGAGCCAGAGACGGGAAAATCTGCAACTATGTTCCTTATTTCTTTGTTGGAAAAGTTAAATATTCTCAGCACATTACCACAGTAGTACAATATTTTATGGGGAAGTAAAAGAAAACCAAGGTCCTTTTCTCACCTCCGTGATTTGTACTTGAAACTAATTATTTGTTATGATCATGGTTTGTTTATTTGATTGATTAAAATGAGGATAAACTTTTGGGATTGCGATGTCATAGTCATAGTACGCATGGTGTTTCCAAGCATTTTGACCTCTTTGGATAAAAGGATGCTCTAACAACCTAATATTGCAGTAAGGGAAAACACCCATTAGAATCTGAAAGAAGAGAGTTCAGAATAAGCATATAACAATAGGTGAGTCAGTCTGTGATTAATATCACTATTTACATCTTGCCTCTCATTTGGGGAGTCCTGGCTTATATTGGATATTCAGGAATAGGTCAAGTTTATTGATTATATAAAGACCCATAATGTAAAAAAGCTTATGCTGATGGTACCTAGAGTACGCAGGTTTTTAAGAATCTATCAGACTAAGCATTTAAAGGTACTGTCTGATGAGTAGCTTAGCATAACTTGGGGGTCATTACACACACTCAGATCAGTCTCCGTATGAATTACCTTCCTCCCCCAGCAGAGTTACTGCTGGCCAGGGTTATTGCTTTAATAATGCACATGTCTCCTGTTAATGTTTACCAGCCAGCTAATCAGAACTCTGGAGAATATATGCCACGTTTGCACTGTTACAAGGTAGATATCACTTTACAATTAACTCCATTACAACTAGAATATATTGATACAGTATTACCTCTTTTCATGTTTCACTGTGAAGCCCTAAAATAATTATATATAGATACATACAGCTGTAGGTGCCATTTATGCATATAAATGACAGGTACTTTCATAAGAATACATAAACATACTCGCCCATACATATCCATACAGTTATTATGAGGTATATTTATGATCTTTACATTAAAAAGGGATTGTTGTATACAAATATTGTGTAAAATAAGATTTTTTTACTTGTTTTCTTAACCATGCAATAAGAAATCTGATTCACAAATTAGGCACTGGGGAACCATGTTAAAATCACTATAAATGTAGACTATCTGCATATATTGAGTGTGTTTTGAATAGCTAATTTAAGAGAAAAGGAATTGTGATATTTCACATATAGGCAGTAATTTGAGAATGCAAAAATGCTTGATTCCATATTAAACAGACTTTGAAAATTGTGATTCAAGTTTGAGTAAAAGGGAAGAATATTTTCAAAAGATCTTGTGCTTACACAATAATGACATTTAATATTCTCTCCTGTAGGCCACGCAGTGCAGATTATTTTATGCAAGAAGCTAAACGGATGAAGCATAAAGCAGATGCAATGGTAAGACCCTTTTCTTTCCAGATATGTTCTTCCAAATTATGTTTGTACTGCAGCTTCATCACTGGGGCAATATAGCTGGGGTAATTATAAAATCTATTACAAGGATGGCTGGGTCTGTTAAATGGAGAAATGTTTATATAATCAAGTGCTCATAGCCCAATAAATTATGACTTCAACCAATAATGTCTGACTGGGAGAAAGTCCCGGATAAATGAATATTTCAATTTAGTTCTAAGGTTTGAATAGTAACTAGAGGCAATGGAGTCAGTGGGTGGTAGTATTTTGTTCCTTTAAAAAAAAAAAAAAATCTAGGTTTGCATTTTTCTTTCTTGTTAGCCTGGCCAACCCTTGGCTTGGTCCCAGGATCAAATCCCTTTTCAAAAAGACTCCTGTTCTGCCCATGTATCTGCCAAAATTAATACTTCCTCTGAAACTGTGCAACACAGAAACTATTATGCTGCACATAAGACCCTAAAGTCACCATGATTTGATGTTTTCAAAAAAAAAATAACTTTTCTTACTTGGATAATCTCCTGTTTTGGAAAGCTTGACTCTTCCAGGCAAGAAATAGAAAACTTCTGTTTTTTTCTGAGAGATCACATGGTTGTTCCATCTTAGGGTCTCCTCCAAAGAGACTCCTTCCTACCTAGTAATTCCAGTTCTGTTCCCCTCCAGCATTCCTAACTGGCATTAGGACATTTCAGATGCCCTTTAGGGTATTATTCCAGTGCTGAAGATGCTGAAACCAGAAGCATACCCTTCTCCCAGTAATGTTGCCATCAAACATTTATTTGTATGAAGCTCTCCGCCTAGGTACACGGGTGTGCAGGGGAAATAAGCAGAGTTATCAGAAAATAGATGAGGGAAATGGAAGGTCCAGTTCTTGTCCTCACAACCCCACAGTCTGATGGAGAGTTCTGGTCACTTGAAGAAGCTGATGTGTGGTCACTATTGGAGAAGGGCACCAAATGTTAAGGCAGAATGAATTTTTCTGCCTGAATCACCCAGGGTTTACCAAGATTGTTCCTTTCCTATCAACATGCTGCTCCAGCCAGGCTGATGCCCTCCCAGCCCCTGAGCACACCTCACTCATGCCAGCCAGCGGGCCCCTGCAGCCGCAGAGCCTCACACACATGCTCACAGCTCCTCACACCTTCCGCTTCCTCCCCAAACCCAGCCAAATCATACCATGCCTTCCTACTCTCATTTTCAGGTCTCCCCCCTGAAGTCCCCCCAGCCTCTCTGAACCCCCTGACTTCCTCACTTCCTACCATCTCTTTGCATTGGACTCTTGGCTTTGCATTTTGTCAGTTAATCACAGACTGCCTTGCACTTTGAACTAGACTGTGGGTGCACGTTTTCTCTCCTCAAATATATTCTGGGTTCCTGGAAGGAGCTTTTGTGTATCAAGTGTGCGCTGCACAGAACTGGGTGCTGTAAAAAATACTCGTTGAGTGAAGGGACCTCCTTAGTCTGAAAGCGTTGCCAAGAAATATTTCTCTATGGCCTATTAGGGTTATAAGCTGTTGAAAACCTTGATTTGCCAAGGAGGGAGAGTTTTGCTCTCCATTGGTGCTTTCTACGGTATCCATTATGAATGAGAATTGTTTTTAGAGGCAAGACCTAGATTAGTAGAGTATTTGTGTAGTTCTGTTTGGGTTGATGAATGAATATGTGAAAACTGGGAAGATTATATAATCTGAATTTAGAATATGTAATTACCACAGAGAATAACTATGTGGAAGTAGGAACTTTACGTGTATGTTCAGATTTATGAGAACCGAAGACTATGACGCTGATTCCCGGTTATCCTCACTGACGTGGGGGGAAATTAACATACATTTAGACAACTTGAGATAATCCCCCCAAGTCATTTTTTATTTAGCATAGCATGGAGGGACAAGGAGGGAAGTTGCCCAGCAATTAGGGGTTAGAAAGAAAGAGAAATTAGAGCAACCGTGTAGTTCTGACCAATTCTGATTAGCAGCTGTTGTATGGCTTTGGGACATTTCTGTCTGTAACCATTCACTCACTTACCCTGAATCAGTAGCAATTTGCAAAAATAACTAGAGAAGGAAACATCCTATTTCTTTCTTCTCTCGGCTCCATTCACAGGATTTTGGAACTTACAGTCGGGTTTCTCAAATAAAGTGTATAGACTATGTGACAATGCCGTTTAAAAAAAACTGTACTTAAGGAAGACACTGTATTAACTCTGTTGATCAGGTGGAAAAGTTTGGAAAGGCTTTGAACTATGCTGAAGCAGCTTTGTCATTTATTGAGTGTGGAAATGCAATGGAACAAGGCCCAATGGAATCAAAATCTCCTTATACGATGTATTCGGAAACAGTAGAGCTCATCAGGTAAGCACCGTGTCTTGTTGGGGAGGTGGAGGGGGTGAGGAATGTATGTCAGTACTCTGAATACAGAGAGAAGAATGCCAGCCTGCACCGTCAGCTACCAAGAACTAATGTTCATCCTCACAAAGAGGAATGTAAGATTTTGCAAGGCACTTTCACACACCGTGCCTCCTTTGCTCTCTTTGTGAGTGAGCAGGAGAGTTCCTCTAACCCCTGATTGCTGCAGAAAGGAGGCAGAGCCCTGAGCCTGAGTGAGATGTGACATGCCTGCCTCACCCAGCTGGGAAGTGGCAGATTTTGAACTAATTTCACCTTTATGCTGCCTTTTTCTTTTTTTTTTTTGTAAATCTGATTCAGGTTAGTATAATAAAAATCCTAACTCCATCAGTAAATGATTCAGGAGTATTTGATGAGAGGAAAGAAGATTCGGGGGGATTTTAAGAAAGGAAATCCCTCCTATGATATGCTGTCTCAGGGGTTGCTGATGTTGTTTTGGTCTTAGACCTGAATGGGAACACCATCCCTCCCCTGGGTTGAGACATGTAACATGAGCAGAAGCAGGGTTTCTAACAGGGGCACATCATGGAGTTGGATGGGAGACTCTTGTCTTCCATCATGGAGCCCCAGAAAGACACATCTTTAATGTCTTTTTAATGAACCCTTAAGGGACTCTCATCCATGAACGATCCTGAGAACCTTGTCATATAGTTTATGTCTCTAGTTAGTTCAACTGCTTGGGATAATATTTAATACCCATATGTGAAATTATCCTTCCCCAAAACTAACTTTAAGAGACTTTTCTAATTCTGGAATTCTTTGCAACCTAAGGTTAGATATTTTTTAGCATGCCTCATCATTCCAGATGAAAGATTTCTTGTCATCTTAGGTTATAACCTTTTCGAACCGCTTTGGCCCAAAGATACCACTTGTTATTTTATACCACCTTCCTTCAGTGAATAGTTTCCAGCCTTTGAAACTGTCATCCCAGCATCAGAGAATACATCATCTTCAAAAAGCACCTCTTAAGAATGTTTTGAAAGTCAACACTGTTCAGTCATTTTTCTTATTAAAATATTTCTACTACATCAATGTATCGGTGATTTCCTCATTCTATTTTCTTATGGTATGCTATTTTTGTCAGTGACAGAATGAAATCACCATAATAAAATACTTAAAATTACTCTAAGAGATCCCAGATTCTCCCATTCCTTCCTCAGAGCAAGGCACAGACTCAGATACCCACAGGTAGGTAAGAAAATGGTGACACTGGATGGGCACAAAGAAGTAAGGTGTCCTAGAATGCGACTGCCTCCAACACGGGGAATTGGGGGGGAGGGGTTCTGATTTGTTCATTGATGTATCCCTAATCCCAAGAACAGTTCCTAGAACATAGTATATGCTCAATAAATATTTGAATGAACAAATAAGCAAGTCAGCCTATGGTGAACTGGAGTGTATATGGCCCCCTTTAAGGCATTCAAATTTTGAAAAACAAATAAGCAAACAAATCCACACCACAATAAAAGTCTGATGCCAGTCAAATACACTTGGAGGTGCTGATATGCTACACTTGCCCTGCACCAGAGTTAGGACGCTGGTGTGTTTACTAAGGCAAGTATCGTTGCATGATGGAGAACACTAGCTTCTAGATAATTTAGACTGAGTAGAATCCCTTAAACTACTCAGAGAACTAAGACAAGAGAAAGTTTTCTTATCTGAGTTAGAAAATAGCATTAATTCACCACTTAAATCTGTATGTTGCCTGCCAGGCTTGACTCTTCTCCCCCACCGAGAGACACTTGGGGCTGGGAGTACTGGCAAAGGGGATCTCACCACAAGTGTCCAGCTCAGGATTCCCTCTATATCCCCATAGGCAAGAGAATTCCTTTCTCCCCAAGGGACAGCAAGCACCACAAATCAAAATGGCACCACAAAGGCTCTGAAAATTAAATTGTAATTGGAACTACAGCCCAGAAGTAGGCCAGGACCTGCCTGCTAAAACTAAACTGGGTGACTTCCTTTTAAAAGAAAATATTTAGATAGGACCCAGGGTCTCCCAACATAAGAGCCAAATGTCCAAGACACATTAGAAGCTCACTTATCATACCAAGAAACAAGAAATCACAACTGGAATGAGAAAAGACAACCATTTGACACCAATCACCAAGATGAATCAGATGTTGGAATTATCTGACAGGGATTTTAAAACAGCCATCATAAAAATGCTTCAAAAAACAATGATAAATTCTCTTGAAAGAAACAAAAAATCAAAAATCTCAGCAAAGAAATATGTTATTTTTTAAAAAGAACAAAATAAATTACAGAAATGAAAAATATAACAGAAACAAAAATATCACTGGATGGGGGCTCAATAGTAAAGTGGAGCTGTGTTGGTGCATAACCCTGTCAGGAGCTTCCCAGGTGTAATCTGAAACCAACTCCCTGTACATGGGGGGTAGGGAGACACAGGGGGAAAGGGGCAGACCACTCCAGGTTGGTTTAATAAGCAAAGAGAACTTACTTGGGTGGCCACAAGATGAATGGATCCCTGCACCTGCCCACCAAATCTTAAAGTTTATATGGAGGCCTTAACTGGGTTCAGCCAAGTATACTGTGCAGATAGTTCTCAACACCATATCACTATATCAAGGCTGTGCCCTTGGAGCAGCCTCTGGGAGCAGAAAAGGCAAGTGGAACCCACATTTCAAGGCAAGGGAGGAGGTGAGGAGCCTCTAATCACCCGGGCCCAGCTCACAGGGTCCAGGTCAACTGACAGTCACAGCTTTCTGAAAACCTTCCCCAACAAAATGACAGAGAAGAGAATCGGTGAAGTTGAGAACAGAAAATAGAATTTACCCATCTGCGCAACAAAAAGAAAATAGACTGAAAAAAAAAATGGATAGAGCCTCAAGCACAGTGACAAAAGATCCAACATGTGTATCATTGGAGTCTCAGGAGAGGAAGCGAGTGGGACTCCAAGAGTATTTGAAGAAGTAATGGCTGAAATTTGCCAAGTTTGGCAAAAGACATAAACCTACAGGTATAAGAAGCTGAGAAAAACCCAGGTAGGATAAACCCAAAGAAATGCATGCCAAGACACGTCATAACTATGTTTCTGAAAACTAAAAACAACAACCAAAAAGTTCTGAAGATAGCGGGAGAGAAATGACACATTACCTGTCAGGGAGGTAATATGACAGCAGACTTCTCATCTGAAACCATGGAGGGAAGAAGAGAGTGGCATGACATTTTTCAAGTGCTGAAAGAAAAAAACCCGTCAAACTGTGAATTTTAGATTCAGTGAAACTTCATTATACAGAAATGAAGAGGAAATAAAAATATTCTCCGACTAGGAAAAATGAAGTATTTGTTTTTAACCTATAAGGATTGGCCAAAGGAAGTTCCTAAGACTGAAAGGAGATGACAAATGAAGGAATCTTGGAGCATCAGAAAGGAAGGAAGAACAACAGAACAGAGATATGGATTCGTGTGATAAACTACCCTCCTCGTGAGTTCTACAAATCCTGTATTCAGTGATTAAAACAAAAATTATGCCGCCAGCTGACACTCAAGACAATGTTATTTAAAAGTAAGTAAAGTAAAGAGACCTAAATGGAAATAAAGTCTCCACGCTTCACTCCGAGTGGAACATGTTAACACCAGTGAATTGTAGTAAAGCACATATGCATTTGTAAATACCCAGAGCACCCACTAGGAAAACTGTGCATGGAGATATATTCAAAGACACTACAGATCTGTATGGTGTGGAGCTAATATGATAACAGTATCATTTCTTGAGCATTTACCATGACCTTTACCAATACTATCCTTACAACAGTGCTATGTGATCAGCAGTATTAGTCTTGTTTTATCAATAAGAAAATTGAGGCTGAATCAGATTTGAACCCAGGACTTTCTGACCATTCAACTACTGTCTAAGCTGTCTCAAAAAGTCTGCAAGTAACTTGGTATATTATTGGGAGAATGGAATGGCCATTGTCCCCTTAGTTTAGAGAGGTAAGTGGGATTAAGTGAAGTTCATAAGAGCCACTAGTCGTAAACCTAGGACATGTACACAGCCATCAAAGTAAGAGTAAGAAAAAGGGGCAAATCCAAGCATTCATCTGAGTATGGGGAGTAGAACATTTTCCTGGAGATTGGTTTAGAAGGACTGAACTTCTCTCCATCTTGTCAGCCACTCAGCCATAAATCCCAATTAGTAAAAATGGATGTGTCACCATATACCTGGATAATGCTTGCACTGGTATCACTCTCAACCATCTGTAGCATTTGAACTTGTATTGTTAAGGAGCAGAAAGTAGCTAGATAGTCATAAAAGTCATTTTGTTCTAGTTGTCGTAGTAGTATAATCCTTAGGGAAAATGGGGCAAACATCAGCTAGCTTTTAAGAAAGAATTAATACCCTGAAACAAATAATACATTATATGTTAATAAAAAAATAAATTTTTTAATTTTAAAAAATTAAAAATAAAAAGAAAGAATTAACAGATGAGGCACCTGGATGGCTCAGTTGGGCATCCAAGTCTTGATTTCAGCTCAGGTCATGATCTCAGGGTCGTGAGATCAAGCCCCATGTCAGGCTCCGTGCTCAGCTGGGAGTCTGTTTGAGATATTCTCTCTCTCTCTCTCTCTCTCCCTTTCCCCCTCCCCCCTCCCTCCTTAAATAAAAAGGAAGGAAGGAAGGAAGAAGAAAGGAAGGAAAGAAAACGGGAAAGAACAGCAAGTGCTATGAAAAACTAAGTATTGGGGAAAGAGAACTTCAATCATAAAAGATGTTCTATTGTTTTGGGTTTTTTTTTTAAGATTTTATTTATTTATTTGACAGAGAGAGAGAGAGCACAGATAGTCACAATGGCAGGCAGAGGGAGAGGGAGAAGCAGGCTCTCCGCTGAGCAGGAAACCTGATGCAGGGCTAGATCCCAGGGCCCTGGGACCATGACCTGAGCTGAAGGCAGACGCTTAACCGACTGAGCCACTCAGGTGCCCCAAAGATGTTCTATTGTTAATAAGAAAGCTTTTTTTTTTTTTTAATTTCTTTGATTTTTCTTTTTTTTTTTCCCCTAGGTATGCTATGAGACTAAAAACCCATTCAGGCCCCAATGCCACACCAGAGGACAAACAATTGGCTGCATTATGGTGAGTGCATGATACCAGCTTAAAAAAGCTTCCTCAGCCTTATATATGTTCATTGGCAAACCAGGTGCTGAAACGCATATGTTTTTCTAGTGCCTTCCGACATGTAAAATCAAATGCAGTTCTAATGGTGACCAGGGAGAGCCCACACCATTTCTTGCTGGTATACCATGCATGATGTGAATTAACAGTGATTAAGAATCAACAGGTCCATTACACAAGGATAATTGTTTCTGTGTGTGTGTGTGCGCGCGCACGCACGCGCGCGCGCAGGCGCACATGCATGCCTGACTTTAAAATCAGGTAGGTCTGTGTTGTAATAATTTGAATGTGAATTGTGCCAAATGTCATTTCTCTTGTGTTTAACACTTTAGACACAATCAAAATAATCCATTTGTCTATTTACATGTGGGATTAGTATGACTAAATCAAGATGATGGGCTGAAGTTCTCAACACTCCAATCTAAGGAGCAGTTCACTACACTGTGATAATAGAAGCACTTCTTTTAAGATGTTCACCAACATGTAATAGATCTTTTCTGTAACTGTAATGATTACAGTGATATTGATTATGTGGGTATAATAATTTTCCCCATTACATCTCCTCACCCCATTCTCCCAAATCACAGGACACCTATCTATAGAAATCCAACATTTTCTGCTCTCTAGTGGTTCATACTGTACTCTAGAACCTGATCTGCCAGACAGAGAATCAAGTCTCAAAAAAAATAAGCAGCATACACAAAAGAGAGAGTCCTCAGGTAGTTTTACATCATCTGCAGTTTGATGTGCTCAGAAGAGACTAGTAAGTTGTACATGGTATGTTGGCATTCCAGCCTGTTGGCACCAGATCTGAGTTAGCAAATAATTATGATTGGAAAGCACCAGGGCTCCTGAGTGGCTCAATCGGTTAAGCTGCTGCCTTCGGCTCAGGTCATGATCCCCAGGTCCTGGGATCGAGCCCCACATCGGGCTCCTTGCTCAGCAGGGAACCACTTCTCCCTGTCCTCCCCACTCGTGCTCTCTCGGTATCTCTCTCTCTCTCTCTCAAATAAATAAATAATCTTTAAAAAAAAAATGACCTCTCTCGTTTCAAAAAAAAAAAGCACCAAGGAAAAGAGGGTATGTCTCAGGAAAGGCTTTCTGTGCTCTTTTCAAATGCAAAGTTCCATACTAGGATTAACAAATTAATGATGATTAATACTTCGTATTATATAAGATACTAATATTCTATAATAATAAATAATAAATATAAAACAATAATGATAACTACTCTCAGCATTGAGTTCTTATTGTTTATAAGACATTCGTACCTGTTACTTTATTTGAACTACTTCCAGTCCAGTAAGGTAGTTTCAAAGTGAAAGGAATACGAACAGGTGAAGAGCTATTGTTTCAGCAAAGCCGACACTGCCGAGGTCCGGGGCGCCAGGGGGGCGTCAGGAAGGAAGGTGGATCTGGCCCGAGATTCACCCAGTCACGGTGAAAGCTGTGTGCCAGCGCTCCCTCACTCCTCCCATGGAGAGAGACTGCCCTCTAGTGGCAGAAGAAGAAAATGGCCTGTCCCTTAGCCCCAAGAAGAAGCCATAAAGCTAGGATCTAATGGTAAATATATTTTCGGAGTAACTCCTTGAAATTTTGAATTAGATCTTTTGAAGACAAGAAAGGTCAGATACTTCACAGACATAAACGTAAGTATAGCAATATTTCATGTATGTAATCGTGATATAAATATGGGGTGTCTTAGAACAACAAGAGTTTTGCGTACGTCTTGCTGGCAGAGGACACACTTATGCTCCCGGGGCCCATTTCTCTCTTTCCGCCGCAGTTACCGCTGCCTGGCTCTCCTGTACTGGCGGATGTTTCGACTCAAAAGGGACCACGCTGTGAAGTATTCAAAAGCACTTATCGACTATTTCAAGGTATTGTCTGACTAGTGGGCAACATTGTTGCTTGTATCCAGTGGTCTCCCGGTCAAGGGCATTTTCCAGGAGCCTAGTAGAATCCCTGGCTTTGGGGTGGTGGGGGGGAATACAGGAACGCTCTGATCTCAACAGTAACCCCCTTTATGACATACTCATGGTGTTCAAAGCTCAGAGAATGGCCTTGACAGCCCGTCTAATTTATCCCCCTGCCTCGTGTCCAAGTACTTTCATGGCCTCAAGAGAAAGAAGATCCAATTACCCACTCCAGTGTCTTGGAAATTCCTCTTTATAGCTAACAAATTCCTCATGTTCGCTTACAGCTTCTTCCTCTCAGAAGTAACTACTTAGAACTTCCTCGTAGCTCCCTCCAGGAGCTCATTTAATTTTTAATAAGGGTGTTATTTAAGTGATAAGAAATGGTTCATTGGAACTCAGAGGCACTAGGACAATGGCATTGGGTAAATATAAGGGTAGAATTGGAAGCCAAGTTAACTTCTACATATCTCAGGAAATGAAATCATTTTCACTGGGGGAATGGGAAAAAAAAAAGCCTTCTCTGCTGTGCTTGTGAAGCGGACATGAAGTTATAATGCATTTGGGATTTCTAGGCCTCTTTGCTGTCCATTTGTCTATAGAAACAAGAAATTTATGCCATTTCCACCTTCACCAACCCTTTGTCAGATACATACCATCATTTAGATCCTTTAATTTAATCCCCAACCTCCACTTCTTAGAGATCATCTCTGCTGACCAGGCTATGTTGGAGGTTCCATGGGCTGTGTCCAGCATACCATCTGCTTCCTGGTCACGCATGTAGAGTAACCAGGTGCTAAGGCGAGGAGAGAACTGTTTTGACACAAAGACCATTCTGTGTCATAATGACAAGAACAGACACTAAGCCTGTTCCTTTACTTTGAGGGCCTAAGGTCAAGAGAGGTCGTTTCCAAAATGTCAGAATCTAAGAGCTAATACTGAAGAGCATTATTAGAGATAAAAAAAAAAAATGCTTGAATAAAAAAGGAATCTGAACTCTGTAAGCCACAGAGGTTACAACAGAACTTTTAAGGGATACAAAAAGTTCTTAGTGTATGTATGCCATCTATGAATATGTACAGAATGGACAAAGAACACAACTTAAACATCAGTTTCCCCTCCAGGGGTTATTGGTAGTTACCCTTAATTAAAAGCCATTTAAATGCTCCTTAAAGTTCAGAGATCATGGGGGAGCCTGGGTGGCTCGGTCAGTTGAGCGTCTGACTCTTGATTTCGGCTCAGGTCATTATCTCAGGGTCGTGGAATTGGGCCCCGCATTGGGCTCTGTCCTGGGTGTGGAGCCTGCTTAGGACTCTCTCTCCCTCTCCCCTCACTCTTGAAAGAAAAAGAAAGAAATGAAAGGAAAGAGAAAAGAAGGAAGGAAGGAAGGAAGGAAAGGAAGGAAAGGAAGGAAGGAAGGAAGGAAGGAAGGAAGGAAGGAAGGAAGGAAGGAAGGAAGGAAGGAAGGAAGGAAGAAAGAAAGGGAAAGAAAGAAAAAGAAAGAAAATCTTAAAAAAAAAGTTTAGGGATTATGAAAGCTTCAGGTGGCAATGATAATTTGTCCATAAAGAATGTGTTTTATCGATACAGAGCTGCCTCTGAAAAAAAGACTTGGTCCCCACGTATGTTTTTACAGTCACAGGGCTTCCTGGTAATAGAAGTCTGAAGGCAGTTGCAGAATTGCCACCTGTTAGGCCATTTCTTACCATTTTGGTAACACCTCCACTAAGAACTAAAAATCACTCACCACTTCCTAAAGTCCTTTTTAACCAAAAGAAACACCTTGTCTCTGGGTAACCAGGCTCAGGCTGTTTTCGAAAATTCACATCAGTATCATAAAGACCATTCTTTACTTTACTAGTCCCCTAGACTTATGTGCAAGAACACATTATCAGGCTTTCAGAAAGGAAATCTGTCTGTACATTAAGCAACTTTCCTTGCCACAGGCAGGACTCCTTTTCAATGCCTGATGCAAACAGCTGGCTCATGTAACATAACATCCTAAATCAAAATATTCAGATAAATCAGTTTTTGAATACTCTGTTAAGGACATATATTATAATCTGTTCTTTTAGAAAAATTCAACAGCAATTTCCTTTAAGAGAAATACTTTTAAGCTTCATAAGGCAAAACAATATAATTTGATGTCTCATATATGTTCAGGCATTAAATGTATGTCAGTGGTTTCTGCAGATATGCCCTACATTTAAATATAAGATGTTCTCGGTGTGGTGGGTAGGGGGTGGGGGGAGAACTCCTGCTGTTTTTTCCTTTTTAGGAAAATTAAGCTAGTTGAAAAAATTTAGGCTGGTTTAGGATTCAACAGACCCTCAGGATTATGATTTAATTTGGTACATAGAATTTGGTGCATGAAAACCCAGGCTGTGGGGTTGAGTTCTCCATTTTAGCCCACCATGAAATCCAGCAGGCCATGCAGCTGCCCCCCACTAGCTTCCAGAAAAGAAACCAGTAGCCTGGTAATTTTAACTTCCCAGATCCAGTTTCTGTGAGTCTTCATTTTATCTGCAGTTTCTGCCATTACTTCTTTCAACGGTCACCTGAGAACATGTTACTGTCAACTCTTTAAACTTAAACAGATGGTACTCACTGTCAACATTTTTATTTTCCTGCAGAATTCATCTAAAGCTGCCCAAGCCCCATCTCCATGGGGAGCCAGTGGAAAGTAAGTTCATTTCTCCAAAGTAAAGGTGATAAATGAGACGCTGCATGATGCTGGGCCATGTGCTACTTTGCTTACAGTAGCCTGGGGGGCTGTTCTACCTCAGCTGGTACCAACCTCCCCACTCTTGTGTTTTTCTATGCCCTCCCCTTCCAGGAGCACTGGAACCCCATCCCCCATGTCTCCCAACCCCTCCCCGACCAGCTCCGTGGGATCTCAGGGGAGCCTCTCCAATGCCAACGCCCTGTCCCCTTCAACCATCGTCAGCATCCCACAGCGCATCCACCAGATGGCAGCCAATCACGTCAGCATCACCAACAGCATTCTCCACAGCTATGACTACTGGGAGATGGCAGACAACCTGGCCAAGGAAAACAGAGGTGTGTGTGCCGCCAGGGAGTGTGTGCGTGCTTCCTCCACAGCTCAGGGAGCCAGCCTGACCCTGGACATCATCGAGCAAGTTTTCATCATGTACCAGAGAAGACATAATAGAAGTTATCACCTATTGTGTGAAACTTCTCCTGACCTCTCCCCATCATGCACGGCCTCCTATGCCTTGACCGACCTTAATCTTGACTGTGGGTGATTAAAGATGGAGGTGGAGGTAGAGATGGAGATAGGAAACAGATACATAGAAATGATGTAGATACCTATTTTAGGACACCCACATGCACGCGCACGCGCATATGGTTTTCCCTTGAGACGGTGAGCTCCTTGAAGGTAGGGGTAACCTTCTATTCAGCTTAGTGTTTGTTCCCAAGACCCACACAGTGCTGAGAGCACAGCTGGGGAGAAACATTGAATGAATGAATTGGTGGATTGATTAATGAGGATGAATGTTCCAAGCTACCTAAGTGATAGCTACTTACCCCTGAGAAGAGAGTGTTTTCTAGGTAGCAGTAAGTTCTATTCTCTTTAAATAAGGTTTTTGTTTTCACAGATTATAAGACAAGCACATGTCTACTGTGGCTAAATTTGTAAAATGTGGAAAACTACAGAGAAAAACATTTTTTAATTATCAGTAATCTTATCACCAAGAAATAATTACTGTTAACATTCTACTGAAGTTTCTTCTAGTCTTCTCCAAATACACACGATTCTTACCAAAATAAGATTGCAGTCCATATGCAGTCTTATATCCTGTCTGTTTCCGTTTAACATTGTATCAGGCATTCTCCCATGTCACTGACTTGTTCAAAAACATCATTTATGATGCTTCTAGAAGACTGTCATAATAGTGCTTATGTAATCATAAAGTATCACGATTTCTCAAAACCATTCCCTTCTTATTGGACATATGTCACTTCCAATTTTTTTTACTATTAAAAATAATGTTATGATAAATATCTTCATATAAATCATTGTCCATATTCTGATTATTTTCATCAGAGGGAGAATTTGGGGGTCAACAGGTATAGATTCCTTTAAGATATATGTTGTTCTGTATCTTGACATATATTGTTAACTTTCTCCCAAAAGATTATACCAATTTACTACTCTCCCTCCGGCAGCAGGTGAGAGTGCAAATCTGACCTCACTTTCAAGCCATGAGATGCGAATTTTTATAAGCTTCTGAGGACAAGACCAGGAGGTCCACAATGAGATGAAGAATTAATAGTACAGAGAAAAAGATGGGTCCTGAGTACATAAAATTGATAATAAAACCAGAGAGTACATAACATGCATCCCAGAGGTGGCACACCCTGAAAATCTAATGGGAATGCCAAGGGAGGTCAATTCCAGGGGACTGAGGCCACCGGGAGAGGCTTGCTAGAGGAACTGGCACGGGACAGGGTTTTGAAAAACAAATGGTAGTTGTGTAACTGAGGCAGAGTGGGGTGGGCATCACAGGTGGACAAAACAGAAGGGACAGGACATATAAAAATTTACATGGCCAGTTTGGGAGACCCTGAGCAGGCCACGCTCCCGATGGCACTGCCAATTGCCTTCTGGATGTCTCCCACCGGAGGGCTCAGTGCTACGTGTCCAGTGCAAAGTCAGCGATTTTTCCCGAACCCGCTCCTCCTCCCCTCTTCTGCTCCTGGATTCCTGCCTTGGCTATCCTCCCAGCCACCTGGGAGTCTTCTCTAACCCTCCCTTGCCTTCTCCAGCAGGACTTCATTGAACATGTACCTGAGCACCTCTGGAAAAACTTCTCCCAGATACTTACTTTCAAGGAGTGGTTGGTTCGGTGATCCAGTTATGACAGCATAACAGCCATACAAATTTGTCTCTCTTAGCCACACACTGTGATCTCTGAGAGAGCAGAGCCTCCTCATTATTCCCCTTGGTATACTCCCCTACCTCTACCTTCCTGCACCTACCACGGTGCCTTGGCACCTAATTAAGTATTTAATGAAAGGACAAACCTAAAGAATGTCCCAGGACTAGAAGGTGACCTCAGGAGGACTTTTCAGAACCCATCTCTCATTTGCCCCCAGGGGCCTGTAGCCTCCTTCTTTGGACTCACTCCAGGGGTTCAGCACATGCTACAGTTGAGTACAGTATAAGGGGCAACAGAGCCACAACCCATGTCCGGGGGAGGAAGCATTTGTGCACATGGACAATGCAGTCTGAGGAAGAAAATTTTCTTTGCTCTTTGGCTTAGCAAACATTATTCATTTAAATGAGAAATGGCCAATAAAATCCTGTGGATATAGGAGGAGTTCTCCACCTGTGGGTTCTGTCCATTGAATGCTAAAGTTGCATGATGGAATAGAGAATGCTTGATTTATATAAAGATGAGGAATGGAATTTTTTTCTTAAGTCACTCGGGTCTCCCAGGGTAGTACAGTTAGCATGTGTGTCACTCAAATGACTCTCTCTGTCCCCTAGAATTCTTCAACGACCTGGATTTGCTCATGGGGCCTGTCACCCTGCACAGCAGCATGGAGCATCTGGTCCAGTACTCCCAGCAGGGCCTGCACTGGTTGCGGAACAGCACCCACCTGTCATAGGGACCTTGCCCGTGAGCTGGATTGTGCTCTCGTCTCCACGGATGGCTCAATGTTTCTGGACACTGTGCTACTGAAGTCCCCGGCCACAGCATTTCCCAAACTGCGGTGAATATTTCCTCAGCATCGAACAATGGTCTTTTCCCAGGGCATGTGTGTTTGTATGTGTGTGTGGATGTTAAAGAACCTGCCTGTATGTGTGTAAGATACACGGCTCTTTAGAACACATTTTCTTTGTCTAGTTTCATAATCCCAAGCTAGACAAAGTGATGAGAGGTTTCTGATTAGAGAATATACACTTACACACACACACACACACACACACACACACACACACACTTTCTTCAAAGCTAAACCATGACTTCTTAGAACATTCAACCAAAATCTCATGGGTTAGTTAACCAGGTGCAATACAGCACACCAAAAGCTTGACTGCCAGTTAAGATGAACCTAGTTCTTATATTATTGATTACTTTCAGTATTAATATACTATTCCCCAATTCATTTTTGATTGTGTGTATTAATGGGTAATTGAATAATGAAAAGAAGTCAGTTATTTTTGTGCTGGACGTTTACTAGATTGCATGTGACCAAATACCTTGCCTTTTGTCTACTCCTCACCCCTTCCATCCAACTTTGTTATCACCTAAAGGCGTTATGTGCAAATGGATCAAATCCCACAGGCCTGCCCTGCCCTGCCCCCGAAAGAATATGAACATGGCACTGGGGTTTGGTAAAAAGTCAGTGTCTTTGCAAGCTAACCGACACTAAAAGACAGCTGTGCTTGGAGCTCAGTCAAGAATTGCAAGCTTCTGCTCGTGCCACGACAAGCCCACCCAGCACATGTGTTGTTTCTTCCTGCCACTGTGACACGGTGGCCACAGAGCCACAGGGCGTTTGTCAGCCAATATTTTTCAAGTCTTTTCTCTCCGCGATAGCTCTCTTAACATATGTTCTTGGCCAAATTAGGACATTCCCTAGAATGTCTCTTCACTAGGAGTCTGTATCTGCTGCTTCTCAGGCTGAGAACTATTCGCTATCATGAGACTGTCTAATCCTCTCACTCTTCATGCAGAACGCAGGCCTTTAATGCATTTCGATCTGGGGGCTGTGTTTCAGGCTTTGATTAGCAAGCTGCTTACTGCGCAGGGTAAGTTATTTTTGCAAGGACCGCAAATCTGTTTGCGGTAGCAATGACCAGAACATCATATGCTTCCATCCCGCGTATCTGGTATGTTTACGTCTTGTCCTTGATTCTTTTTTCTTTTTTTTTAAATGAAGTTTACATTTTATTTTTTGACGTCTTGTTTACAGTTTTTGTCTGAAACTTACTTCTTTTATAGTCTCTTATCATGCCCTAGATTTAGTCTTCTTGTTAAATATACTTGGATATAAAAAATACTGGTAAAAAAGAAAAATTCCTACAAAAGAGGATAGACCTTGCCATATCCTTAAAAACAAAAATAAATCCTTTGAAGCCTCTCACTTGACAGAATTGTACCAGGATGGTCTGAGAAAGACAGGTGAATGCCATACGTGGAACACTCCGTTTTCCAAGGTGATAGTGGCACAAAACATTTATAAAAGATAGTGTTATATGCTTTCCCTGATGCTCTTACTGGTTTGGTTGTAACGTTCACATTGTTGTCACCTGACCTGTAGGTGGGAAATAAGACTGCGGTAATTCTAAGCACTGATTCAAAAGGATTGAGCAACTTCAGTGATTTGAAATGAATCGAAAGTGAAGGGTTCAAAGGGTAATGAAGCCAGTGAAGGATTTGTGAAATTTGCATTTGGCTTCAGCCCTGAAGCTTCTGGAAATATTACCAGTATTTCCATTTTACATTTATCCAACTGAGGTGCTCCTCACACCCCTTTCACGAGTTGTTGGCAGAGTTCATGACCCCATCCTATGTTGGAAATTTGAGTCTAATTTAGGATTTTTTTTTTTTTTTTGGAGGACAGAGGCTTAGTTCTACTTCCTCTTGCTGAATTCTGATGAAATGTTGAAACGCTCACATAAAGGGATGATGAGCCTCAGGGTCTGCATCATGTATCCCTGCCCATCCTTAAAGTCATGGGTCTTGTGGGAGCCCCATGGTTGCTTACCCACAAAACCCCATGTAAACACACAGGTGGCCCCTGGCTGATTGTGCCCACAGCATTTTATCAGCACTTAGGTGGCCCGTGTTTCCCAACAAAACTTGGAACTGGTCATTTTGTGGATGGTCAGAGCGTGCAGGGTCCTCTCCCTGTCTTTGATCTCATCAATAGACCCTGTGAGGGCAGCAGCTTCTGTTTTCTTTGGCAGAGCTGATTTTGGTAAGGAACCATCTTCTGATTGTTGTTTGTGAAAGTCATTCATAACTTGTTCCTTTTCTTTAGCTTTGTTCAAAGTAGAAATACCTTTCTTATGATTTTGGATTATAAAAGTAATACATGCTCATTGTAAAGATTCAAACAAGACAGCAATGTATAAAGTAGAAAGTAGTAAGTCCTATCCCCCGAAGACAACCACTGCTCACAGTTTCATGTAGATTCTTCTAGAGATTCTCCCATTTAAACATATAATGTCTATTACCGTTTTTTTCTATTTGAAGATATATTATTTCCTCAGAAGTTCAACACAAGTTCAACTGACCTTATCCTTCCATGACCTGAGTGGATGCCTTCCTTTATCCCAATGTTAGTGTTACCTTTGAAAGAAAGTGACCCAAATATATTCCTGATCAAAATTTGGGATTTGTTACTACTCTCTACACAGATCAGACTTATGTGCAGGATTGTGCCTGGAAAGAGAGGTTTGGTTAAAACAGATATTTCTGGAAACATTCAAATTGCAAATGGAAACTCGGACCCACTATCTAAAGAAGAATGTACTGGAAAAGTAATCTGAAGAGTTGACAAATTGTGTACTAGATTGAACACATGGAATGCAATGCAATGAGATTTTCTGCACTAAAACTTACCCTAGTATGTAAAACAATGATGTGTGTATTATATAACAGTGATGTGTACATTTCTGACATCCCATACATAATATACACAGTTTGTATAAATGCATACATTTAAAAATATATATGTACAATACAGCTAACATAAAACTGTAGTATGCCTGAAGGATATTACTAGTGCCTAACATTGAGTATAAGTCACTGCGTGTTCGCATCACCTTGGAAGTGCAGTAATTGTTACAAAATTAATCAGTGCAGCCAACATTATTTATGAATCACATCTTTGAAACTGTGCAGTAGTATATACATATATATTTTTAAATAACATTTTTCACAGTTTTCCAGAGTTACTGTTGAAATCTGTATCACCAAAAAAAAAAAAAGCAAGATTTTTTTAATGATGTAGACACTCTTCAGACCCAGTAATCTGTGTGTGATTTCCTGTTTGTAGATACCCAAGAGACTTTAGCAGTCACCAGCCTTAATGCATGTACAGGATATTATTGTGACTTAATTTATCTGCAGTTTTTAATCCATGTGAAATTGGAATTTATAAACTGACTTGGATTAAATATGTCTGCCTTTCTAAGGTTGCAAATGTTACATTAAATGATTTATGTTGTAAACAAGAGAAACGGAGTTGTATGTTAAAAAAAAAAATATCCACCAATTTCTGTGAATATTTTTACAAGGAAACTTCGGAATCAAAATACGTTCAAATAAGTATTTGGGTCGCGGGGTTCAAAATCTCTTCAGAAACAACCCTGTTGTTTCATGAATTTCTTAAATGTAGCTCCCACGAGTTATCATTATTAGGTCTGATATTTTCCAAGGGCAAGACAGAAGTATGTTTTTCTTCATTACTCCTTGTGCAGAAGGATACAGCCCAGTGTCCCAGAAAACGCTGAATAGGAAGCTTGAGGCGTTCATTGATGCCTGTCCCACCAGTAGTCCTGGGACACTGGGGCACTGTTTTACTCAACATTCCTTAATAACACAAGTTAATTCCCTAAGTTATATGTGCCAGGTTTTTTCAACTCAAACCAAAACCTGGTGGAATAATAATGCTCACAAATATTTGGTTGAACCAAATAAGAGAACTTTGAACTAATGAAGATGGAAATATTAGAACAGCGGCTTGCCATTATCTGTCCCCCTGTGTGGGAGGGTTTTTTGTTTATCTTATTTTTACTCTTCTCTCACAACTTTTGCAGTCCATTCCTTCCCAAAGAAGCAGAAACAGCAACAAAAATAGAATGATGACTCTGCCTTACCCAGCCCATACCCTTAGGTTCAAGTTGCCTTGTCATGCAGCAGGACCCTAGCTCGGCACCACCGTGGAGACCACCTCATCCCAGAGGTGGCCAGGATGGGGCACTGGACTTGCTTGCTCCAGGGACCTTGATGCTCTTTTCAGAAGTGGCTTAGGCTAAGAAACACTCAACAGCCTACAGTTTGCCTGCTGTTAAAGTCTGTTGTAATCAGAATCATATTTTTAAGAAGTAACACCTTTTAAATGAAACATGGATCAACTGGAGTCTCGAAAGACACTTTTTTAATGAAAGAAAGAAAACTTAACAACATAAACTGCATTTCCAGCAATTTTCCAAGCACAGTTTTCGATATCCCAGCTTCCCAGCAAACAGCACAAGAAATGTTCAGACTTGAGCTTTGTGTTCTCTTTGTCCAAACTGAATTATTCTGTATGTGTCATCAGGGGGGGTCAGCTTGTTTGTGTGGCATGAGGAAAATTACAAAACTCTGTTCTCAAACTAATTACATCTGGCCACAGTTTGGGGTTTTATGATTTAATTGCCATTCTGAGGCACCAGGGGGTTATATGGGGCTGGCTCCAGGGGCACTTAGATGCACAGCTCATACAGTAATGGGAATCAGGGGATTAAATCCCTACGTGTTACTTTGAAAATCCACTTCTTAGAGCCAGTTTTAAACACACTGATCTGAGGGATGAATTCAAAGTACTAACTGCAAGTTGACACGAGGATCAGCATTTGTCTTCAAGCATCAGGAAGTAACGATGGGTCTTGAAAAGCTGAATCAAGGACTTGTTTTCTACTCATTTCTGACATAGACGTTCATCAGAAAATATTTATATCCAAAGATGATATAAAATAGTACCATTGTTTAGGATTTTCAAACAGTGCTGTTTGGTGATAAAAATAATCACAATATTCTGCTTTCTGTACTGTTCTTCAGCACTTCTTCAGTTTTCCATAAGACAAAACTGACTTTTTCCCCAGTGTTTATCATCTCTTGATTTCTAGATGTCCACATGAGCAAAGAGAACATACTTAACGCTGAGAAATATGCACTACTTGACTGAGCAGCATTCTACCCACAGTAGCCAAAGGTATACGACTTCTTAAAGAACATTCTTTGAGTCTTCTCTGTTACCTTCATCCTCCAAAGTGAGAGATCACAAATCCTCAAGTATGGCCACGTAGGTGAGATGTCAAAAATTCTAAGTATATAACATACTAATCTTTAGTGATCGATGCCTTCATAGCATCACCAGCTGTCTCTGGGGCCTATCTGTGTAGTGAAATAACAATATTAACTCTTTGCTTTGAGTAATCCGCAATCTGATTATTAATCCCCTGCTGTTCCCAGGGCTGCCAACTCAACCCAAAATGTCCTTCTCTGTGAACTGGGTTGATTTTGTTGTTCCTTTGGGGGCTTCACCCTTCTAAGTTCTATAAGTCAGGTTTAGTATCTTGACTTTTTAGAAGAAGAGTTATTAGAGACAGTTGGAGCTTTAATGAAACAAGGATTCAATATGAGAACTCATGGATGTTGGGATGAGAAGTCGGGAAAGTAACTGGGGTACCCAAACGTTCCCCTCCATTGCCTGCTGCACCTGATCCTTGAATAAAGCTCCTCTGCATACTGCAATTTCCTCTCTGTGAAATGTAATTCAGAATACCTATAACCTCAGACAGAGTGTGAGGATCAACAGATTCGGGCAAGCGTTTTGAGAGTCCCAGTTGTCACATTCAGCAGGAGTAATGCATGATTGTCAGAACGGAGGCAACAGAAATATATCCACAGGCACCAAGACACAAGGGTGTGTGATGCGTGGCATGGTCCTCTGTCCCCCCGAAGAGGTTCTAGAGGACCAAGAGCATGGCAGTGGGGTAGCTACAGCTCCCTCCGTAAGATTCTTCAGCCTTTATTGTTACCAGTTTGAGTCCTCCTGCCTGTAGGCAGAGCAAGACCAATGAGGGGGTGGGAGTGGGGGGGGGTCGGTACTTGCCAAGAGGAGCAAGGCTGCCAAGTACCCCAGCCAGTTGGCGGTACAGCCCCACCCACCCCCTTTCTCATCCAGCCCTGACCTTAAGAAATCAGGGGGTGTCCAGATGGAAATTGGAAGAAGGAACATTGGGTCCAAGTTTCCAGTGTGCCATCTTCCATGAGAAAATAACTTGCCTATTGAACACCATACTTCAAGAATCTTCATAGAGCCAGAGAACACAGCACAGTCTCGTTTTGCATGCTCTCATGGTTTTTCTTTGAGGCTGAGTTCCAAGATGGGGATCTTGTGCCTTTGATGGTTTGTTTGTATGTTTGTTTGGGGCCAGGAGGTGGAAGACAGCTAATCTGGGACATTTGTCCCTGAGAAAGGAGATCTGTCACAAGGGACTTGGGTATGTCATGAGCTTCAGGAAAGAAGAGACCTCTCTTGAGAGAATAGATAGGTTTATTCTCTAGTGGGTTAGGTTGCCTCAACATGATCACTTAATTGCAGGCTTACACCTTAGTCAGTATACCAGGAGAGAGAAAAATCAACATAAGAACTTAGTGATTTTTGTGATGCCTACCTAGACATTTGTACATTCTAGCCCCAAACATTGAAACAAAAACTGGAAATCTGACCAATAATCTGAATGTTTCCTACCACCGAGGTCAAGGCCCTAAGTGTTGGATTGAAGTTTTGAGCTTTTATCTAAAATTTATATTATTTTATATTATTTAGACACGGCCCTTCTTTGTGTCCCTAAATCAGTGCTTTGATGTCATCAAAATAATCATGACATACTCATTCTAAAGGGCCCTTTCTTTTCATACTCACTGGAAAATCCCTAGCCTTTCTCCAGTACAAAGGAGCAGGGGCTTAAGGTCTTGCAAGATCCATCCTCATTTAGGCCCAAATTGACACTAACACCCTTTCCACAAGAGCATAACACCTTATCCTGTGTGAATTCTCAGTTTTTAGATAAAAAAAAAAATTCTAGAATGGCAACATGGGGTTTATTAGCATGAGGAGGTGTCGATACACTAGCTAGACTCTTGGATGTCACATTTTCGCAGGCAGGATGTTACAGAACAGACGCTCCTACCACAGCATAATAAACAGTTGCTTACTCTACAGTTGCATGGGATCAAGTTGAAAGTCACTCCCATGTAAGTCTGCCTCAATCAGAGCAGGGATTTAAAATTCCACCATTTTATACTGTATCATCTTGGATGTTTATTTATGGAGCCGGCAGCTCTAATTCAATATTCCTGCATAGCGTGTCACAGCAAACACCTTTTCAAATTCTGCATCTCGGTCTCAGGAAAGCCGTCAGCAACTTGGGAACCTGCTTACGTCCCGCGAGACTTTTCCACTGATCCAGTTTTAGCAGCCACAAAATCAGATCTCAGAGCCTTCACCTCCTCTTCTAGAAATTGGTCTTACAATTGTTTCCAGGATTGAAGAGGATTTTAAGTAGAACAATTCTGTACAGTAATTTATACTGTAAAAATGTACCCATTGTAGCATTGATTAAAGTGCTGTATTTATAAGGTCGATTACTATTTTCATTTGTGTCTAGTCATTCAATATTAAAATAGCTTAAGTTCATTTTTGTTATGTGACATTTATTTGGGACTTCTTGTTAGGATATTTGGATATGGTTATGGAGAAAGTCCAGAATCTGTGTTGATAGCCACTATTTTAACCCAAGTAGGTGTAATGGTCTATTAAGCATCAACATTACCAACCCTATTACTGATGAAACCCTGTGTCGTGTCTGTGTCTTTAAGTGTGTGATAAAATCTTAACCCAAGCAATGAATAAAGACTAGTGGCTTTAGTAAGGTTCACTTCCTCCAGCTTTTCTTCTCAAAATTCATTAACACTTTTCCCAAGGAAATTCCAATGCATCTTCACAAGTGCCCCCAGATCTCTTACTCCTATAGAGAGGTCTCTTCTCCTAGGCTGCTTCTAAGGTGTCTGCATGCACGCAGCCTAAAGTCCTTCACTTTGCTCGTTGCTGATGTCTGCATAAGGAAAGGCAAATACTAAATTCTCTTTCTATCTCTCTCTCATATAAGGAAAAAGTTTCTCCCACATAGCAGTATTTATCATACTGCAGATAAACAAAACTCCTATTTCAAATCATGAACAATTCAACATTGAATTATTTTGGCAAGGTGTTAGGAAGGGATAGAGTGTACATCTAATATTAAGGAGTTACTTAGGGAGATCTTATATTTTGTCTGAGTTTAAATTTACATGTACAAAAACGATGGAATCATTGACCATGATTTTACTGTTTGAAGATTTTGCTGTGTCTATCTAGAAGTCACATAAAACTCAGGCAGAACAGTTTCTGAAATGGAGGAACATCTTACTATACTGTAACAGAATGAGCCTTAAGGATTTTTAAGAATAAGCACTTTTATATTTGAAGGTAAATATTAATGCATCAGTGAAGTTACTTTTTTGATGTCTTAATAAGCCTTGAAATCAACATCACTCTGTCTCAAAAACATCCTCCTGTCTTTTCTAGAACTTCCGAGTAAAATGTCCTTTCCCATATGTTACACTATTTTGTTTTAAATGCAATCAGCTGGTCACAAACTTATCTTTTCCTCTACAAAAGTATGACCCTACCAGATGAGCACATTTGACAGAAAGGAACACCAATCTGAGAATACTCTTGGCAGGAAATATTAAGTGTCACCTTAGAGTGAAAAACAGAACGATCTACAAGAGAACCTGGAATATTCTTGCTAAGAGAGGTTTTGATTTTGTTTCTCTGGTTTTTTACATGCCAAGCTTTGTTTACTATAAAGCAATGCCTCAGTGGAGGCCTGTTACATTGTGACGTAGTTCAAACAGAACAGACAACAAAAATGTTCCATGCTGAGACTGACTCGGGCCATTTGTAGTTCACTACATTTCTTTTTCCATTTTCTTTTTTAAAATTTTATCTTCAATCAAACAAGTAATATGAGAATACAGTCTTGTTTTTAAAAAAAAAAAAAAAAAGTATGTGGGGGCGCCTGGGTGGCTCAGTCAGTTAAGTGTCTGCCTTCGGCTCAGGTCATGATCCCTGGGTCCTGGGCAAAGTCCCACAACTGACCCCTGCATCCGGCTCCCTGCTCAATGGGGAGTCTCTGCCCCTCCCCACCCGGTCGTGTGCATGTGTGTGCGCTCTCTCTCTAATAAATAAAATCTTTTAAAAAATTAATTAAAATTAAATTAAAAAGCATGTGATAAAAATAGACAAGCATTGCTCAAGAGCAATTCATCCTTTTAAAATGTCAGATTTGTTGGTTTTTAGTATGTTCACAAGGCTGTGCAAACATCACCATTATCTAATCACAGAACATTTTCACTACACCAGAAAGAAACCCCATACTTAGCAGTCACTCCCTATACCCTCTTCCCCCAGCCCCTGGCCGTCTCTATGGATTTGCCTAGTCTGGACATTTCATATAAATGAAATCATACAACAGGTGGCCTTTTTGGGGCTTCTTTCACTTAGCATAATGTTTTCAAGTTTCGTCCCTCTTGTAGCACGTGTCAGCACTTCATTCTTTTTATGGCTGAACAAGATTCCATTGTATGGACATACCACATCTTATCCATTCATCAGTCAATAGGCATTGGGTTGTTCTCACTTTTTTGGCTAATGAATAATGATGCTATGAATATTCATAGCACAAGTTCTATGTGAGTATATGTTTCCAGTTCTCTTGGGTATATACCTTGTTGAGGAATTGCTGGGTCATAGGGTAAGTCTCCATATTCCATTATGTTGAGGGGAGACTGGGGAGTGACTGCTGAGGGGTGCAGGATTTCTTTTTTGGGTAATGAAAATGTTCCGGAATGAGCTGGTGGTTATGGTTGCACAACATTGTGAATATACTGAAATCCACTGAATTATACACTTTAAAAGGATGCATTTTATGGTATGTGAATTACATCTCAATTTCCAAAAGTAGTCAGTTCTTATTTAGACTTCACATGAAGGCTTCCCAGTTGTTTTGTTGCTTCTTGTACCCTACTTCTTTCAGATCAGATCTGAGTTGTAAAATTTTTGAATCTTTGCATGTCTTAAAGTATCTCACTTTGTGCCCGCACCCGTGTGTCCTGGTTTCACCTATATGGGATGCTAATTTAAAAGGATTTTCCCTGGAAGTTTGAAGATACTGTTCTAGTTTCTTCTTGCATCTCATGTTATCTTTGCAGTAACAGAGTCCTCTCCCCATCCCGCTACTCCCAGAAAGTGTTTAGGGGTTTCCCTTATAACCTTGATGTCTGAAACGTCGCCATGACGTTGCTCGGCAGGAGTCTCTCATCTTGTTTGTCCTTGATTCCGCTCGTCCACCCAAGAGTCCCACACCTGTCCTCACTCTGGGGCACTGGCTTCCATTACTGCAGAGTATACTCTGTCCTCATCTTCTGAAGATCTATTTGATGCATGTGGGGAACTTCTGGGTTCATCTTCTGATTCTCTTGACCGTTTTTTATATTTTCTGTCCTCCTCGTCCGTTTTTGCTCTCTAAGAGAATTCCTTGGCTCAGCCTTTCAACTTACTCTCTTGTCAGCTTTCAGTGCTTCTGACCACCTACTGAGAATTTTACTTCAATCGTCAAATTTTTCATTTGCAACATCTTTAAAGCATTCCTTTTTATGGGTGCAATATCATTTTATTTCCCTCTGAGGATTCTAATTATATATGTGCCATTTTCTTGTTCTGTTTGCTCGATTAACTCTGCTTCTTTAGGTGTAAACTTTTCCATTTGTTGGGGTTGGTACCTCTCTTTTACGGCTTTTTCCAAATGTTTAGGGGTTATTGGCTGTGTGCTACACTTCACATTTGAGCTCTCAGCCTTTCTGCCAATGTTCTTTCTATTTGCTGCATCTAGACTCCTGGATGTAGAGAGCACCCCGTCCGTCCTGGAGGTAGCCAGGGCCCCATCTGGCCTCTCCATCACAACCATCTGAACCCCCTGGTCCATACTGGGGAGCTAACACCCCTGGTGCCTGCTTCTTAGCCTGAAGATGGAGAGGTGGCTGCTCCTATATTGGGATATAATCCCAAGTGATTAACCACCCCCTCCAGGGTACCTCCCAATATTCTTGACCTCCAAGTCCGTCAAATCCTGGATCAGCCCTCTATATTTTTAGTTCTGCACAACCTCAGGACTGTGATTTTCTTCTTTATGATGGTCCTATGCTTTTTCCATCCTTCAGAGATGCCTCAACGTTCCTGGACTTTTATTTAAAACACCCCTTCTTGTTTTTTAGTGCTCTTGTGGATTTGTTGTTGCTGTTGTTGTTATATCAAAGAGATGTAACTTTAACAAAGTCAAGTCCTAATGTTTGCCAGGGGTGGGAGAATTGCCCTCTAGCAATCAGGCTTGATGCATCCCATCCAACTTGCTTTCCGAGATGGCCTTGGACTTCTGGACTCCACGTTGCTGGGAGCCTCACCCCTGATTATCTTGGCCTTTGTGGTGCAGTCACTGTTCAGCCCTTCGAAAACCACTTGGCTGCTCATTCCTGCTCCTGCTGCTGCCCATGCCGTCAGTCAGTCTGTCCAGCGGGGCCCCTGAGAGGTCTCTCCCTGCGGGCTGTTGTTGGACTTTGTGCTTCTGCCACACCCGTGGGTCCAAGGTGAAGTGGATTTTTGGCATCCACCCCTGACATACCTTAAAAATGTCCCCTGGAGGCAGAAATTTCTTCTCCATCACAGACCATGTTGAGACCATCTCTAGCTCAAAAGCGCCACCCACAGAAGCCAGGTCAGATGGTTGCAACCCCACTGCTGGTCAACACAGCACATCCTACCCTGGGTACAGACCAGGGACCGGTCCCAAGAACAGTGGCAGAAATCAGTTATTAGTGCTGGGACAGAAGAGCTGGACCAACAACAAGGGGACTTGACCATGAGTTGCCTGAACACTGAGATGTGACTCCTGACACGGGATAGCTCAGAATCCAGAGCCTGGGGTGGGTGGCTGGCAGGTGGAGGTTCTGTGGCCTCAGTCATGGAGAGGGGAAGGCTGAGGGGTAGAGAGAAAATAAAGAGGTTCAGTCTTTTTCACCAGACTGATTCTAACTGAGCTTGCTGACACAGAGAACAGTTCTACGTTCAGCCAGGTAGCCGAGGACATTTTTAATGTGGGACTTGGGAGACATCTCAGTTGATGTCATCTCAAAGCAAGTAAGTAAGCAAGGTACGTAAGGCATGACCCATAAAAAGTGTCTAGGGTGATGAGTGTATCGGTGGACACATGATCCTTGCCACAGGACCACAGAACCAGCCCCTTGGGGAAGTAGAGGCAGATGACAGCTGGGTAGTGGGATTCATGGAACACTGGGAAGAATGTTCTACCTCCCTCAGTGACTGAAAATTCCCGGAAGACCACCTCCCAGCTCCTCTTTGTCAAAAGCCTGTATTCCCCTAAGGTGTCACACAGGAAGTCCCTCACACATCTCTGACATCATCACACTGTTTCCACTGATGAGCAGGAGGAGACTGTGGGGAGGCAGAGGTGCCGGGTGGAGGGGGCCAAGAAGGCGGAAGCAGAAAGAGGGAGACAGGCTGAGCAGGGGAAGATGGCC